AAAAAATAATTTTTATTCATATGAGTGTTTATTTTTATTATAAGAACATTGATTATATTTATTTATATTTACATTATTTAGTTTTAGCACAATTAGACAATAGTACATAAAAAAAAATGTACATGTACTTATACGGGTATTGACGAGTTTATACAGAGGCTCCTCTAGGTCCTAATGGAGTATACAGATATTACAATTACGCATTAATACTGTACAGCTGCCAGGGCGCCAGCCAGTATTATAAAAAATACTTTTATATTATCATTATTATTTTTTTTTATATACTGGGGGAGTGTGATAATATAATACATTTTCTTTTATATTTTTGAAGATACGCATTTATCACAAGATTGGTGCCTTTGAGTATAATATTGATGGGGGCCAACCGGGAAAATCGCGATTTTCCGAAGGGCCTATTCACCCATGGATCTTAAAATCCGATCGGTATTTGTTTCAAAACGGCTATCGCCTAGGTATATTATTACTTTCCAAAACGTTATGGCAATATATATATATAATTACATATACTTTGTTCCATAACGTGCTATTGCCCATATTATAAATATAGGACTCAACTAGTTATTACGTCAAAACATCCCACTACCATCGATCTTTCTAAAACGCTTTATTGCCAATCTCAAAGTAAAACGTAGTATTTCCCATACTAATTAGTAATTACACAGGACATCAATCAACTATTTTCCAAAACGTTGCCATTGCTTTTTGGTAATCCTACCAAAAAATTAATTTTGATTTTACTTTGTTTAAATAAATTTGTAAAAATGATTAATTCTCATTTTAAGTTTATAACTTTATTAATTCGACAAAAAAATTATTCTTAATTTCATTTGAAGATAGCAAAAATATCTGCTCCATGAATTTGAATTTGAAATCATACTACGTTTCTGACTATCATTGTGTGCATTATTATGAGTGTTACCTTCATATTCTAGAACTTCAATATTTTTACTCACAGCATCATTTATTGGATAAATTGTCGGTATGCCTAATGTTTCCTCACTTATATATCAATAATTTCACTCTTTTTAGAATCAGTGTAATGATGTTTATTTTTCTATAGTTACTGTGAAACTAATACTTACAGTTAATCATTTATCTAATTACTTTTAGAATAAAAAAGTGAATGTTACTAAAATAAAATGCATGTAAGTAGAAAATAAATTATTATTAATTAATACTAATATTATTTTAATAAATGTTCAAATTGATGACCATCCACTTCTAAACAAATTTCCAATCGTCTAAGTAATTCTTTTGTAGTAGCTTTCACTAACACATGGCTTGGAATGTTTGAACAGGCATCTTTAATTTTCTGTTTCAGATCGTCTACATTACCTGGTATTTCTTTGTAAGCTACACATTGAAGATAATCACAAAAACAATAATCGGGCAAAATCAAATCAGGACTACGTATGCCTGGACTGTGTGTTCCCATCCATTTTGCCCCAAAAAAATTTGAATATTAAATAACGGTCTCCTTAATATGGGATAGAGCACTGTCGTACTTCAAAATTAAATATTTATGACGTGGTATAGGTACGTCCTCTAAATGAATAGGTTGATCATTTTTTTAAAACATTTAATTATCTATCACCATTTAGATTTTCAGCAAAAAAAAAATGGACCAATCAATCTGTCATGAAAAACACCACACCAAACGTTAATGTCATAACATCCTTGAAAATTATTCTCATCGTGAGAGGGAGGATAACCATAAAAATAAATAACTCATATTAAGGTTTTGCATTGCGAAATTTAGCTTTATTAGTCCAGTATATCTTTTCCAAGGATTGAATTTATCTTCAATCCTTGTGTTTAATGAAAAAGTTTATAAAAAAAAGTTTTAAAAATCAAAAATCTTAAACATCAATATCAATATTGTAATATTGTATCCTAGCAATCCAAACTAGGCAATGCTCGTAATCACCAAATCTTAAATGCTTCTTCTGTATGGATGATATTTATTTTTATCCGCAATTGTCTGAACTGAATTATAAGAAATTCATATTTATTCTAAATAAACTATAATAAAATAAGTTAGGTAATTCTATATATCTATGTATTTTTTTTGTAATTATTTTATTTACTTACTCGATCCTAATCCTAAAGATGTATTTTTATTTTTATTTGTATTTGTAATTTGTATTTTTTTTTTCCTCGAATACCTGTAAAATCATGATACGTGTCTAATTTTTCATTAAATAGAACAATACGACTAGAGATTTTAGTACAACTTATTTTGTACATAGTTATAAGTTAAATATGATTTATTATAACACAACATAAGCCTACAATATTGGTATTATAGTCATTTTTATATTGTATTTCATTTTGTAAAAAATTGTTTTTGATTTTAAAAATCATTGATTATTTTTTTTGTACTATACACATTTATATCGTGTATATATATTTTTTATTTCCTTAATAATTGTACTATATATTTATTTGTACACTTTAACATTAATCTTTTATTTACACATGTATCTTGGATTTTCCTAATTGTTAGTTTGTTAATTGTATACATAGTGGATTATAAGTTATAACACTAAAAAATATTATAAAACTTTAAAATATAAATGCATAATTAAATGAATTATTACCTTATTTATCAATTTTATTGTTATTCTTTGACTACAAATTAAAAATGGGATTGAGGTTTCCTTTAATAAGTATTAAAAAAAAAACAAATAATTTATAATTTATTATAATTATTAGCAGGGGTGTGCCTAAGGGGGAAGTTCAACACCCCTACTTTTCAGAAGATTTTTTGCTTATTTCTACTTTGAGATATGTATGAGACATTGACAAAAACTAATTGGTTTACATTTTTTTGTGCTTATTTTAATGTCTCCCTGCAAGGTTTTGCCGTCATGCCGGTAAATTGGTATTCTTTTATTCTCCTTATCTATATTTTTCTATGATACCACAATGCAGTATACAACTCAATATTACTCGTCTTCTTTTATGGTACACGTTTCACATTCATGAGGACTAATTATTAAATAGATAGGTACTAGGATATAAGTTATGTAGGACGTAGGTACTATCGTAGAACAATATACCTAGAATTAACACTCATCCCTCTGCTTTTATTATTTTTAATTTCGTGGCAGAATGGTTGATGTTGTAAAACTGGGCGGTAAGGCTGTTCAAAAATCTCAACTCTTTAACATTGGCTAAATTGTTCTATGGTACTATCCACACCACACTCGTAGTTTGATTGTAGTCATGTAATTCCTGCGCATTTGAACAAAAACAGTAGAAGACAGCAAATGACAAATAGAAATTTAAAAAATATATAATTTTTTTACATTATATATCAGTTTAAAATTATTAGGTATTTATTTTAGTTATTTATATAACTTACTGATAATTTAAAAAATGTAGCTGTTTAATTAACATTAATAATAATGCCGTTATATAGGTACGTGCACCTGCACGTAAAGAAGAAGTTTTATGGAATTTCGGTTTACAAGTTAAATGTCGGGTTGCATGAACAATTTATTAATTTAACGGTCCAATAAAATGTTATGGACCAATCATGGACACTTAATCATGTTTAAAGGATTATTAGCTCACTGTTGATTCGTTAGATGTTTAGTGATTGTTCATGCAACCATGGCATAAGATTAACAGAGCTACTCGAATCTGTCAGTAGTATAAAATCTTCCAATGAGAATAGTGATAACACCCAGGATAAATACCTAGTTTAAATCAAAACAATGGTACGGTAAAGGTGTATGCACTATATTGAATAACTAACCATAATATTATATATGATACGGGTAATATCAACATTTGGATTAAGTCGACATTAGCAGGACATTAGCCATAATTGGCTAATGTATAATTTTTCGCTTATAAACATGAAATATCAACATTATCCGAGTAATGTTAACTTTAACCGGTCAACATTGGATAATGTTCAAAGTTATATATTATATGGTGAAATAAATAAATAATCTTGTCGTTACCAATATCGGCAACATCCGATTTAGTTGATATAGATTGTAGAGATATCTATAGGTAGTGGGTATGTACATACCATATGGTAACTGAACAATTGTCATTTTTCTTAGTATAGTTTGACATTTGGTTGATAAGTTGCACTCAAAGAAAAAAATGTCAGAAATCGTACAAGTCTGCGAGAAAGGCACCAAAATAGTTGTGGGTGGTTATTCATATTCCCACACGGGTACAACAACATACGTTAGCAAAAACAAAACGGTGGAAATGTAGTAAGAAAGTAAAGTATAATTGTCAGTTAATACTATCTTCATCGTGGGAGTTAACAATAACCCTGTACTTCAAATTGAATTCAACTACGCCGAGAATAATTAAATACAAATAATTGAAAACTTTGAAAATGAACGATAAAATCACGATCACGAAAACCTTGGTACAAACCGAGTCAGATATTGCGATAGTTGATTAAACTGATAATTCACTATATTAAAAAAAAACCTAGTTAAACATTTTAATTATTTTATTTTATTTTTTTTGAAATATTGTACTTTTTTCGAGGACTTTCTTTCCTAGAATTTTTTTAACGCGATTCTAATCAATGACGTATAATTTGAATGTATACTAAAATCGTAGGTCTACGAGTAGTTTGAAAATATTATCGACATTTTTGATAGTTTATAAGAAGCTCGAAGTATTTTTTATAACTGATAAAGGGTTTAATATTTACGATATAATACCAATCCGACTAAGAAAACTCTATACCAACTCGTAATTAAATTGCCATTTGTGTTTATCTGCTAAATGAATAAATTACTTTGATATAGATACGATGTAATAATTGGCTTATCGTATCCAAAGTCCATATATTTTTAGGTACTCTTATTAATTAAATATAAATTAGCATCTAAAATCTAAATATATCATTTTGTCTTAATTGTAGTCATTGGATTTCGATAATGTCACAGCGCAGAATTTTTTTTTTTGTTATTAATTGTTGTAATTTTTTGTTTCAGATAGATTCATCAATCGACCAAAGTCTACATTTAAAGTAGTGAACCAGGAAACACGTATAGTCAGATCAATTCTTAATAGGCGCCTACTCATTTAGTAAGTTAATTTCAAGTGCTTACATAGTTTAAAAAAATGTCAATTTAAACAAATTTATTTCGGAATTATTATTTTTGATGAATTTATTTTATTATATTATATGGGTACTGTGAGTAAATTATGAATTATGAATAATCATTGATTCTTATAATTTGTCAACATTAATGGATACATAATTAATTGTTTTAAAGACTTGAATTTTATTTTCAGGTATCAATGGCAGATAAAAATCAACCATCGTCCTCGGAAAATAATCCACACTTGAAGCTTCCTTGGCCCGAAAATTCATTAATGCAGAGGCGAATGAATAGGATTGTTGAACAATGGGAAAAGCAAAGAGATCTCGATGCGAGAACTAAAACTAAAAAAGACGAAATTGCTAAACATGGAAATGCTACAACAACACAAAACAAAAATAAGAAAGATGAAAATCAGTAATGATTTAACTATTCTTAAATTTGTATTTTTAATTATCAACTGTTAATAAGTACACTTTTATTTTGATTTTTTAGTATCTATAAGAATATTACATGTCAATTTGATATTTTAAACAGTTTAAATATACCAATATTTTTGATATTTTAATACATATTTTGAATTGTTTTATGTAACATTATAAAGCATTCAAAATGTGCTTAATAATGTTACCTATGAATTTCAACATTCAACTTTACTGTATAAGACTATTTTAAAATTTATTTTAATGTTGGTAGTAGTAAAGTAATCAGGTGAGACTGACTACCGTATATGCACGTAATACGTATCTATTGTGATTCAATTAAGTCAAATTGTCAATGCGATATGTTCATATACAAATATACAATGCATATCAATGGTGGGCATTAACTTGTTAAAAAGTTAAAGTTAAGTTAAGAGTTAATTTTTTTTAACTTTTTAACGTAACTAGTCAGTTATTTTTGTTTTTAACTTATTAACTTATTCAGTTCAATTTTGTATTGTTTTAACTTAACTTCTTATAGTTAATTATCATTATTGTACAGCTTAGTTAATTTTTTTTTTATCACATAGAACCAGCAGGCAAAACTTATTCTTCCGATTTTGGTACTTAATTTTTCTAGTAACATAATATATTAAAATCGTCTATTCATAATGATCATATCATATTTTTATCCATAGGTTCTATAGTAAATAGTAATACAGTAAAACCTCTTTATAACGGACCCTCTGTTAGACGGAATCCTCCTTATAACGGAAAATGTCAATAGTCCCGCGGTTCAAATAATATATAAAATTGAACTCTTTAAGACGGAACCTCTACAAAATGGAAACGGAAAATGTTCGTAATCCAATTAGTAAAAATACCCTCTGTTAAACGGAAAATAGAATTATTTAAAGATAAATTACATACACTTACATAAGTATAAACATAGCCGTTGGTAATTGGCAAGTCTAAAAAACCACGGTGTTTTAAGAACATGGACATTTCTTCGTTACCTGTCATATGGAAATTTAATAAAAAAGCCTGGATGACAACAGAGATAATGGAGAAGTGGTTGCGTTATTTTAACGCAGATATGCGATCTCAGAATAGAAACGTCCTAATATTCTTAGATAATGCTGCATGTCACCCAAAGATCGAACTATCTAATACGAAAATACTTATGTTGCCCCCAAATACCACATCGATCACCCAACCAATGGATCAAGGAGTGATTTACACGTTCAAGTCTTACTATCGTAAGTTTTTGCTACAATCGTTATTATGCAAGATGGATAATTGTTCTTCAGCTCATCAGCTCGCTAAATNGGATGCAGTCAATTGGATAGCGTTGGCTTGCGATAATGTAAAAGCTGAATGTGTACAAAATTGTATAAATTGTATTTACCTAAAATATAATTTTTTTAATACATACGTACACATACATAAATTCTTGAAACATTTTTTTTTACCTCTCTAAGACGGAAAACTCTTTATAACGGAAAAATTGTTGGTCCCAAGCGATTCCGTTATAGAGAGGTTTTACTGTAATTGTTAATAAGTATACTGTCTATTGTATAGACAGCTATTTCCTACTTTCATCAATTATATTTGATGATCTACTCGGTATGAATAAGCTGATTTTTGTTTTTCCTAACTCTCCAATTAGTGTAGATCTAAAAATAGATTTAAAAATAAATATCATAGTCTTTAAATGTTTATCAGTAAAGTAATATAAACTGGTAAATAGTAAATACGACTATGCCAGTGGACAAAACAAACATTTCATCCGAGATATTTATAAATTATAATTTATAATGTCGTATTCGTTATAAATACAAGCATAAAGTATGAGGTAAGAAAATAATATTATTGAAATAAATATCAAAACAATCTTTGGTAGGTATTGTACCATAATTAGATGATGTCTTCAATAGCCTATCTACACTTCATGGCGTATCGTCTCCTGGTCCTGATGGTCTCCCCAATGAGTTCTTGTTCTAGTTAAAATTTAGTATCGCTTATCCTCTATGGATTATTTTCAATAGGTCCTTGAATGAAGGCATTTTTCCTTCAATGCTTAAATTCAGTTCTGTTACCCCGATTCTTAAATCGGGTACGCCTTCATCAGTCTTAATTTATAGACCTATTTCAATTCAATCTCATATTGCGAAAATATTTGAATCCTTGGTTCTAAAGGAAATTCAACGCCCAGTTAATAATATTCTAATGGAGGAGCAACAAGGGTTTCGTTTTGGCCGCTCCACTACAACATGCAATCTCCTATTTAATAACTTTGTATTCAAATCATTCCAACAGCGTTTGCAAGAGGATGTGGTTTATACTGACTTTAATAAAGCTTTTGTTCTAGTTAATCATGAGGTTTCGATTAAAATTCTAAACTGTTATGGCTTTGGTGAGCCATTTCTGTCATTGATATTAAACTTTTCCTGCGTGTTGGTTCTATTGATGATTGTCTTCATCTCCAAAGTGACCTAGATAGCTTTCTTAACTGGTTTAAAAATATTGGCTTATCCTTAAATGTATCTAAATGTAAAATTTTAACTTACATTCGTAGTCGTTCACCAAAAATGTATTCCTATAATATTTTAGGCTCAGAAATTTTACGTACTAATGAATCTATTATTGATATTGGATTCAAGCTTACCAGCTCACTTGATCCACGACCACATATTGACATGGTATGTTGTAAGGCCTTGAAAATTCTTAGATTTATCATCAGGCTGGCTAGGGATTTTAAATTAGATTCCTCGTTTAAACTACTTTAGTACGGCCTATATTATATACTATATACTATATACTATAAACTTGTACTTTAGTACGGCCTATATTAGAATACGGCGTGGTTGTTTGGAATCCTTATACTGCTAATGACTCTCTCCAACTTGAAAGAGTTCAGCGCCGGTTCCTCCGCTCTGCTGGTTTCTTATTAGGCATTGAACACCTTCCACACGATTACTCAGCTGTTGCTTCTAAGTTAGGTCTCGTCTCTTTAGCTGAACGCAGGCGAATGCTTTGCGTAAAGTTCTCAAAAGGACTGTTGTCTGGTCAAATTGTTTCATCTGATTTATTATCCTTATTGAATTCCAAGGTCCCTCCTCGTCAAAACCGTTCTAGGGTTCCTTTTTATGTCCCTATATGTCCGAGCAATTATATGAAAAATAAGACTATTAGGCGTTTAATGTTAATGGCCAATGAGGATCCCTCTTTTGATCTTTAATTCTACTATTTGTTAATCTTTTTTCGTTTTTTAATGTTAATTTGCTTTAATATGATTTAAATCTAACAAACATTATTTATCTATCATTATTTGTGACTGTACTTTATACTCTGTTATGAATGTTATTGTAATTATGTAATTTGTATACATTTTCAAAAGTTTTTCAAACTCGTTTATTATTATAAAATAAAATAAAAATAATTATAATTCGATTAAGTCGACATTAGCAGGACATTAGCCATCCCTTTTGGCTAATGTGTAATTTTTCGCTTATAAACATGAAATATCAACATTATCCGGGTAATGTTAACTTTAACTCTCCAATTAGTAATACAAGATCTATACTTAAAAAACCCCTATCAAATAATACACAATACCCTTTTTTTGTTGATAATTACGAGGTTATTTCCAAATCAGTTTTTTTCACCAAAGGATCCTTTTTCATTAGATTCTTTTTTCTATCCATATACCATAAATTTAAGTAAATAACCAGTAATAGAGCAACATAAGGCCCATACCTTAAAACCTCTTTTGACTTTTCATGGGTATGTACTGTTTAATTCCAGATCGCCCTTTAAAAGCGACCATACTTTCATCACAATTTAGGTGTTTATCCGGGGAAAAATTTTTAGAAGAAGCATAATTTTAGTAGTTAATCATGGGACGAATTTTATAAAGTTTGTCATACGAAGGATCACCCCTTTGAGGCATAACACTACTGTCATTAAAATATAAATACCGTAATATATTTAAAAACCGTTTTTGAGACATAATATTTGATATGCGAGGGTTATAAAAATTTTCATCAGCGTTTTAGTGCAAGCGAATACTTGGCATTTTGTTGAAACCCAGAATTAATAGTATAGTATACAAAAAAAGCTTTTAATTCTGAAATATTTAAATTTAAATTTTTACCACATTGGTTTGAGTATATGTTTGATTGATGAATAATGTGCTGATAAAAGTCAGGAAAAAATATTTTAAAATTTGCAACGGTGATTTTGTGTCAACAAATACATTTGGTTCATATGATTTATTAAAATTAAATGTGTTATAAGTCAATGCAGTAAATGGTGGGTCTTTTAAAAATTTAAAAGTATTATTTTCAACAAAATCACTATCTTCACTATCAGAATTCTCAATAAAATTGACAAGCAAAAGTCTATATTTTCCATATTATTTGTTTCTGAAATATTTGATATATCATTTTGTACATTATCGATTAAAATATTTTCATGCTCATCTTTATTTGAGATAGGTTCATATGTGGGATCAACTTCATCATCACAAAATTCCAAATCTGATATTGTAAAGAAATATTTCTCTTTACTGAAGATTTTTGACGTTTAGATCTAAGCCTTGATTCCCTTGATATATTTAAATAGCTGTTTAATAAATAAGATTTATCACATGAAGTAACTGAATGTAAAAGAGATGAGATAGAACAGGAAAGGAAGACTGATCATGTAAGTATGTATTCCTTTTTTTCCACAGATTTTTCTAGCTGTTGAATATTTGTCAAAACATGGTGCATCTTCAGCATCGTTGTCTCCCCCAGAGTTAGATACAATAGCCTCAGAAATTCCATTTAATAATTCCAAAATGTTGTCATCTGTTAACTTAGACATTTTTTGTTCAGAAATTGTAACAAAAATTAAGTTAATAAAAATTAGTAGAAGTCACAATAATCTAATAAGTAAAATAGTATATTTAAAGTATAATTTTAGTTCAATTGTTCTCAAATATCATTTTTGCTCTTATAAAAGTAATGAAAAATAATATATTTTTTAAAACTACAGAACATAACAGTTATATGTATGTTATTTTCGTCAGCTCCTTTAAT